GAAATAGAATATATCAGGACAGGGAAATGTAATGCTTTTTGATGGTGGTCTACTCAGGTTTACATTATAGATCAACCACCTAGATAGTCCATTAGATAAGATTTTCATTCTTACAAGATACAATAATTTTTAAAGTGGACTGTTCTTACTTAACATTTTAGCACTTGTCATGATTGAGGGAGTATACTCTTCTTCTCTAATAATTTTATTCTCTTGACTTCTATGATTTACATTTGCCTGGTTTTCCTACTATACCACAGGCCCCTTTCTCCTAAGTTCCTTGACTGCATCCTTCTTTCTACAAAACCTATAAATATTTCAGGGTTTACAGGACTCTGCCCTCAGGCCTTCTCTCCTCATATCCACTGCTCCTATGTGATCTTATCCAGTCCCATGGTTTCAAATTCAATCCATATATCAGTGATTTACTTCCCCAGCCTAGACCACTCACTGAGGTCTGTCCTCATTTATCCAACTCCTACATGACATCTTCATCTAAATAACTAGCAGTCATCTCCAACATAACAAGCTCAAAGTGCAACTGTTAACTTTTCGTATTCACTACTGTCTTCTATCCCACTCACACTCCAGTGTTCTCCCAAATCTACGAGTCCCTTTTTTGCTTCACATTCATATTGAGCTCTCCAAAATACAATACTAATCCAACCACTGCTGGCCTTCTACTCTCTTGTACATTAGTGCAAACCTTTAGTACCTCTCCTCTGGATCAAGGCCATAGTCTTTGAAACTGTTGATCTGTCAATAGATTATTTATAAAGCTTTAAATCCTTTGTGCTTCCCATTATACTTGGAATGAAATCCAACCCTTACTAAAATCTGCAAGGCCTCCAAAAGCTGGCCCTCACCCCTCCCATTTCTCCCTTCCTCTCACTCACAACACCATTGTCACAGTGGCTTTACTTCTGGCACACAGCACATCTGGTTTTGATCACAAAGCCTTTTGCCCGCTATTTCTCATGTTTGTGACATTCATTCCCAAAATCCTTGTAAGATGCACTCCTCTCATTATTAAGATCTCAACTCCAGTGGGCCCTCCTCAAAAAGCCTTACCACCTGTTAAAGCAGCTCCCATCTCCATCCAAGTGGCACATTCATCTCTTTTATCTTATTCATAGTATGTATTCCTGAAATTATCTTTTTATTTGGTCCCATGTCTATTGTACACTCTCATGTAGAATACATGCCCCTTTAATGCTATATACCTATGGCCTATAACAGTGCCTAACACATAGAAAGGTTAAATAAATACTTGTGGGCTGACTATCTAGAAAGTTAAATGCTGTTTAAAAAGTCAACTGCTTGGCTCTAACACATGACAACCTACCTACCACTAGAGTACATTTGCCCATTGAGACCTGGGGATAATCCTAAATTGCCCTTCAGTCATTTTAAGACCAATATATTAACTAATCAGGTAAACTCAGGTAAACTCCTTTTTCCAGATAGCTTGTTTCAAATGCTGTTGTGTTATGCAATTCTGCTTTCATAATTTTGCTTACTTCTAAGATTCAGTGATATCAGTACTCTTATGCAATTTGATCAAGGATGAGTCATCATGAATGAATCGAACTAACACCAAAAGAAAATATGGATATAGACACTTTGAGAGCAAGGAGATTTACCTAAAATTACTTTCAGACAATGTTTTGATGGTGATTAAAAATGAAAACACTCTCCCCCAATATCAATTATTTTGGACCACTAGAAGATATAAAATTTCCTTTAAGAGCAGCCTTTAAATTGAAGCTCATTTTTTACATTTATATCAATGTCATTAAGTCTCTAATTATTTTGTTATTAACAATATCATCAGCATTATAGTTGTTAAAAAAAATTTTGAACTGGGAAAACAAAGAAAGCATGTTGCAGAGTTGCCAGTATTGACCTGAAATATAAAAATAAGATGTTAACCAAATTATAACTAATTAAAGACTAGCCATCAGATTAGGATGCTCTGTTGGTTAGGCATGTTTAATTTCAAGAAGAAAAGAAAGTGTGAACTTGGTGGGGGGGGCACATAATCTTCCTTGGATCTTTCCACAGTTTGGCAAATAAATGAAATTCACTTCAATTGAGATCAAGGATGCCTGTAGGCTGACACAATAAAGGAAGGTTTTATATGCCCATATGACACATTGACAGAATTACAATCATTTCAGTACTAGAAGGAAAGGGAATTTTTGATGAGTTCCTTACAAGGGATATCTTTTAACCATAGGGAAAATAATTTCTCTAAAATATGAAAGTGGATATGTTAAAATTATTTCTTTTTTTATCCACATGCTTACATTTTAATTGGCAAATAATTATGTTAGCTTAGATCTACAGTGTGCTTTTTCTCTTTTATCCCCATGCCATACAATCAAAAACATTTTAAAAGTCACAGATTCAAAAAAGTCTAACTTATTGAAAATAGTTTATGTTACTATCAGAGGAACAAATTTTTCTCTACTTTCTTGGGTATGGTAATAAAAACAATTGATTTTAAATGATTTTTACATGTCACAGAAGGTTCATCTGGCTGGTCTAATACTCAAACAGGCATAAGACAGATTAACAACAACACACACAAAAAAAACCACAACATATTTAATGTGTACATATGTATGGGAATCCTGGATACATGAAAGAGTCAGACACCTCACATGCAGGAGAGGTTCAGAGACAGAAAAGGGAATGGAGGTACTAGTATATAAGGCATCTGAGCTAGAGACAAGGTAGTGCACCTTGGAGGCTTCAAAGGATCACTGCAGGATTATAAAAAGAGCAAATGACTAGATTCTATATATATAAAAGCCTAAGCAACTGTTACAATCAAATGACCAGAATGACCAGAACTATCGGTCAACCAGTCACTATGATGTACACTGACCATCAGGGGACACATGCTCAATGCAGGAGCTGCTCCTCGTGGTCAGTGCGCTCCCACAGCCAACCTTCCATTGCCCCGCCCCTGCCAGCGGGCCCCTCCAATAGGCCCCAATCAGGGGGCCACACAGCCAACCTCCTGGGGTTCCTCCCCCCAATTGGTTGGCTGGCCCCCCAATAGGCCAGCCCAAGAGCCCTACCCATGCACAAATTTGTGCACCAGTACTCTAGTTTAGTACATAAAAGTTTGCCCGGCCATACAAGTGGGTTGGAAAAGTTATTTCTCAAAATCTTCTATGAGCAAGACATCTAATTCAAATTCTTTTAGGCAGATAAAGGTGAGGGCATAGAAGTTTCTCCTGGGTACATGTTTAAATTTGTCTTTAGCTCAAACAAGTCTCCATAATGCAGAAGCACAAGTTGGGGTAACTTGTACTAAAACCCCTACATTACAAAAGGGTTTTATTTCTTCCATGTGAAAGATTCATCTTTGGATGACTTATAAGGAGCTCTCCTGTGTTTTTAAGTGTTCAGTTGGAGATTATGACTGAACCTAGATGACAGAAAGGAGGAAATTTAAAGGTCACATTCTAGAAGGCATAACCAATTGAAGAGTTCTCAGAAATAAAAATAAAGAACCTTAAAAATCATTAAACATGTCAATAGGAAAGTAAGTTAACATCTTAAAAACTTGATAGATCATTTTAAAAAACAAAAATATGACATTAAAAAATGATATTGGTAGCCAAGAAGCAGAGAAAACAGACACTCTCTGAGAAACTGGTAACAACAAAAAAAAAAAACACACAAAAAAACATATTTTTTCATACTATGTTCATAGAATTCTAAATACTCCAGCCTCCACCACATAAGCCAGACAATAAAACTGAATATCTATAATAATAAAAGGGTAGTATGGTTATTAGACCAGAGATCCCTCCAGATGAAGTCAGGGCCAGAGGGAAGCCTGGGTCCCAAGTGCCAGAGGGAAGCCAGTGCAGCAATCAGTGGAAGGAAGGACTGCTTGTGCATGAATTTCATGCATCAGGCCTTTAGTATGAAATAAGTTTCCACATATCAAAACTCTTTGGCTTAGTGTTCAGTAATCTCCTTATATTTTTTTAAAAAATTATCTTTCACCCCCTTGTCTCCATATGCACCCCCTCCCCAAGGCTAACTTTTATTCTTGGCCAGAGATTACTTTTCACTGTTTTATCAAAGCATATTTTTCAATATTTACCATTAAATACCTTTATAATTAAAAGTCCAAAATCCCAGTGACCTTTATTAATTTGTTACATAAAATTGTGGATTCAGATAGTTGGTATAAATCACTATAGCACTGTTCTATGAAACCAAACACACCTGACACAACTGTCAAAAACTCTGATAGGAAAGCTGATGACCAGGATTGAATTTGAGTCCAATTACATAACCATCATTTCCTCAGCAGTAAAATACCTCATCTATCAGTTTGGCTGATAGAGTTACTATAATAATAGGGTGGACTGAGCTATATGGAAACTCTCTGGAAAGCATAAAGAGCTATACATAAAGTTAGGAGAAATAGTGATATCTAACAGTGATATTGGATTTACATTTATAAGCAACAGGTGATTAGAAAGTTCTTCTATGGAGTCCAGAAAAGATTGATCTTCTGGCATGTCCTCATTTGTGGTGATGGCTCACCATCTCTGCCACTTGACTTGTTCTTTTAAAACCAGCTATAGTTAATACAGTCCAAATATGATTTGCTCTGTATCTTAGAAACAAAATCCATTCTTCATTTGTTAGAAAATTCTATTTGAACATCACGAGAAACCACATGGAAGGAAATAAGAAGGTATTTAGCTTATTTTCCTTGCTGGCCCATGGATATGAGCATGGATAGAAATTCTATTACTACTAGCACTTAAGAGCAATTTTGATCAATGATATTTTTCTATTAGTATTCAAAAGATGCAGATTATAATTCATGAAAGTTTTATAGTATATGCAGGTTTTATTTTGAAAACCTATTGACAGGAATAATTTAAAAAACAATTTCTCTAAGGTTTTGTTTGTTTGTTTGTTTGTTTGTTCGTTTGTTTATTTTTATTGAGACAGGTCAAGTTCTCTTCCCTGTTTTTATTTTAAGCCCAGGTGGTCACCATACTGAATGTCACAGATCAAAGTGGTCCGTGGAGCCTGATAAAACACTAGCAAAGAAGATCTATTGTTGGAACTTCCCTCATTCCTGCAGTGTTTGGGTGTTTGTTTGTTTTTTGTTTTTATTGTTTTTGTTGTTGTTGTTGTTGTTGTTGTTGTTTTGCTTTTATTACCATGCCCAAAGTTCATACCTATATCTCACAACCCAAATGCTTTAATTATGCATACCATAGCTAATCAATGTCAGTGAGATGGTCCCATAATTTAATAAAGAGAGAAAGCCTGAATGTCTACAGATAAGAATAAATCATTGGAGCATGTGAATCAGTTTTTATCAGAGACTCAGTGGGACCATAATGTAGTCTTTCACTCTGTATCAAAGGTAGTAGCAGGAAGCTATTTTATAGATTTCTTGGTAATTTGAGCTGATGTTATACTTGTTACAGGACTTTTCCAATAAAATAAAAACACAGCAGGATAAAAAAAAAAATACAAATGGTGATTTTATAACAGTCAATAAAAGCATGACTCTATAGTAATGGAAAATTTGTTCATGAATTGTGAAGTATCAGTGGCTCAGTTGGTGTGGTAATAAAATAATTTGTGTCCTGCCACTAGAACTTTTTTTTACTGTGTTAGCATGTACCTTTAATTTACTGTGGGGTTTTTTTTCTTCCCTTTGAGAGAGGAGTCACCAAAGGCAATGAAACTTATTAAGAAAATAATGTATCTTAGTCAAACACAGACACCTAATCAAAACAGCCTCTTAAAGGGCTTTTTAAACTACTTTATAAGCCATTACTTTTATTCAAGAAAGAAAATTTCAGCCCATTATGTGAAAAGTAAATTTATATTTAGTTCTTCCATGTAAATGAGAATGAACCAGTTCATGTATAAAATAGTTAACCTCATGCCTCCCAAATTAAGAGCTTTCATTACCTTTTAAGTCACATGTTAAATGCAAAAATAATGAATCACAATTTTATGTGAGCATTTAAATGAAAGCAAGAAAATGCAAAGACAAAGAAACCAGGGTCATTTGGGGGAAGAGGGCATAAATAATATGATATTCTATTTGACCCATCAAAGTATGTTTTATCCAAAAGGTTTATTCCCAACCCTCTCCAAAGGGAATGCTATTATACAGGATTCTGTTAGTGTCTTTGCAGATATTAATTTGCTAGGAAAACTTGCTTCTGCCTGACCTTACCCCAAGGCTCCCAATTATTACAAATAATTAAATAATGGAAGAATCCTGATTCCTAGTGAGGCTATACTGACAAATTTATAAATTGTGATTATTCTCTCTCAGTGACCAGATGCATTTATTTAAATAATGACTTTATATTTGCTATTAAAGACAGGGGGAGAGGATAATTGTTAACTCTAGAATATGAAAAATGAAATCTGGGAGCAGAACCTCTTTTAAATGCTTTCTTGCCTGAAAACCAATCCAATTTTCTTTTAATTTCTAAAAATTTAAATAAACAAATCTGAGAGACATATTTGAAAAGATGGGTGTTATCTTGTTCATAACAGGAACCAAGAGCACACTAGAAAATTTGAACTAAAGACCTATATTCTGTCTACTCTTTTGCCCTGACATCCTACCCATGAGTCTAGAATGTCTTTCCAATCATTTTTATGTGATTGAAAAAGCTTTAAAGTGCCCAGCAGCATAGATCATGAGGATGTTGCCATAAAACTCCACTACACTGTGTGGTGCTAATCAATATCACAGTCCTGGTCAGTTGTTCTGCTTATTTCACCTTCCTTCATGTTGGTCTGTCTCCCTCCTCCTCTGGGCTGGTTGCAGAATGAGGTGCACCTCTCAGACCAGCCAGACCAAGGGGCCAGGACAGGAGCAATATCAACACTCCTGTAATCCAGCCGGCAGCATTTGCTGGACCCTCAGAAGTGGAGTAGGAGCAGCTCTGCTGTGTTTGCACAATTAACACAATGTTAAATGTGCAAACAGAGCTGGAGTGCAGACAACATGCTGCTGAAAACACAATCATGGTCACAAAGAATTGAGTGGTGCCTTGCTCAAGGTAGCTGTTGGGTTCATTTTCCCACCTTCCACTCACTTAATTTTGTAAAAAACAGCTGTATGAGAGGCTCACCATTCTCCTGCTGAAGAGTGTGGCTGAAACCTGGGTGGCACTAGGAAGCATTCTCCAAGAAGCCAACCAAAGTTAGGCCACCAAAGACCAGACCCTGCAGCTCTTGTTGTATCCTCCTCACACTGTGGGAAATTGCCAGAGCTGCAGGTTTCCCATAAATACCAGTTAACTTGTCACCCTGGGATAGTGAACTAGATTTCCCTCTATACCAACTCCCCAGATTTCTTTAGCCTGAATATTTGAAGATTTTTTTAATTTAAATTTTTAAAAAGTACTTAAATAATTATTTAAATAAGTATTTAATAAATATTTATATAATAGAGACCAATGCACAAAGATTCATGCAAGAATGGGCCTTCCTTCCCCTGGCTACTGTCACTGCCTTCACTCCTGCCTGGAGCCGCCTTTCTGCCTTCCCAAGCTGCCTGGAGTGGCTGGGAGTGGTGTAGAACACCTGCATAGTCACCATTAACTCACCATCTTTGTTGGGTTAATTTTCCTACTCACTACTGATTGAGTATCAATAAAGTATGGTCAATTTGCATAATATTCCTTTATTAGTGTAGATTCCTATTAATTCTAAAGAAGCCTAATTAACTTCTTTTCAGAATAATGAATTATTGGAATCTTTATATTGTTTTTATGTTTTGTATGGCAGTCGCCAAGAACTCCCTTCAGGTGTATGAACTGAATTATGGCAACAGAGCCAAATTTTCTGAGCTCCTTTCCAGATAGTTTTGTTATCTAGCTGTGTAACCTTAACATCTCTCAGTCTCATGTAATCTGAAGAGGAGGAGTTTAAGTAGTACCTACTCCATAGGGTAATTAAAAAGCTGTATAGAGGCAAAATTGTTAGCATAGCATGAAGCAGCATACAATAAGCATTCAATAAATGTTAGCTATTGATTCTGATTTTGGGCATTACAGCAATCCATAACCTAATCTGGAAAAAAAAAAAAAAAGGAGCAGTTATTTGCAGTCCAGTGACAGCCATCCAGTTAGTCACAGTTATGGGCTTATTATTAGCCCCTTCATCTGCCTGAATTTCATCATCTTGGGGAGCTTGTTCAATCTTAAGGGGATACAATTTAGCCCAGTGGAGTGATACAGTCAGTCTTTTTTATTAAATGAGACGGGAAAATGTGATGGTGAGTAATGGGCCTTGAGTAGTCAGAGGCCCTGGGACTCTAGCTTTGGCTTAACCACTGGGAAGAATGTGTGGCAAGTAACTCATTTTAAGAACAGGGATAGTGGTAATCCTACTTATAAGTTTAGTTTACTAAACAAAACTGTAATGCATAATCATATTAACTGTAGAATACTGGACAAAGATAAAGGACTGTTACTTTCTTTAGTAGCATATTGCCTGCCCACCACTAATTTGCCTGCTTCCTCCCTGTTTTTGAAACTGTCCTCAACACCCAATAACTTGAGATAGTATATAAGATCACTTTTATAAAACAACTAACAAATAGTAGAACAGCATCTTTAGATACTAGATCCCTTCCCTAATTCTCTTGTCCACCTCCACCTGTATCCCTTCCTTGGGAGGAACAATGGTACAGAATCTGGGGCACACAGATTTTGAGGAGACAGGGCAATGCCAAGAATTAGATTAGCATATAGTGTTGACTGGGTGGTCTTGATTAAAAAAAACTATATAAAGGAATCTGGAAATATTGTAATACAAGAAGCTGAAGAGTACCATTGAGGTCTCTAAATTGATTCCTGGATTCAATTCCAAGGAGGGGAGTGAAGGAGTGGTTTCCCACAAACCTACAAACAACCCCCAGATACCAGCATGGCATGTAAGAATTCAACTATACCCTAACACTATCTACCCCAACATAGACTCAGTTTCCACAGGGTAAGGGTTTAGTCCTACAAGATTGTCCCTTCCTCCCCAACACATCCACACATGCACAGGTCAAACTTTGATTGCAAGTCCAGGCAGGCTCTTACCTATGCTTCTGGCTATAAATTAAGGATCGCACAATCCTCTACTTGGGTTCAATTAACTTGCCAGAATGGCTCACAGAATTCACTAAAACTCACTTACTGACTAAATTACCATTTATTACAAAGGATATTAAAGGACACAAATCAGCACCCAGATGAAGAAATACATAGGTACATAAGACAGGTCCCAAACAAAGGAGTTTCTGTCCTCGGGGAGCTTGGGGCTCCAGGCAGTGGCACATGGAAGTGTTTTGGTTCCCCAATACAGAATCTGCTCAAACCCCCTTCTTTTGGGTTTTATGGAGGTTTCATTACATAGGTATGATTTGATAAACTCATTGACCACTGGTGATAGTTTCAACCTCCAGCCCCTCTCCCCTCCTTGGAGGTGGGGGTGAGAAGATGGGACTGAAAGGTCCAATCCTTTAATCACATGGTTGGTTCTCCTGGCACCCAGCCCTCAATTCTTAGATACTTTCCAAAACTCACTTCATTAGCATAACAAACTTCCTTGATTTCTTTCAGCACTTAGGACATTTCAAGCTGTGAGCAAGGAATTGTGGACAAAGATAAGATATACATGAGAAATATATTTTGGTCATCAGAATAAATAAATAACAAATCACACAATATAAATATCTTTATCCAAAGTAGCCCTGTTAATCCTGAGTTCAGTCATCATTTAATCTGTACTCAAGTAATCTTTTTTTTTTTTAACTAATTACAATTTATTGAGAGCCTACTATAAACCATGTTCCAGAAAACTTTGCATATCATGTTTCCCACTATCACAACCACAATTGGGATTATATATTGTCCCTGGTCTATAGAAGAGGAAACAAGGCTTAGAGGGGTTTGATAGGCCTCAAGCTCACACAGGGGTTGAATGGT